GACCCATAGTAACCCTATATAGGGTTTCCGAGGAGCATCTGGCAAGCTTGAACCGCTGACCCTGCAGTTCAAATGGCTTTGCAGTCTGGCATTGTATGAGGGGCTTTAAAAGTCTGTGGAAAATGGAATAGTCTTACATAATTTGTTGCTATCTAAGTCAGTTCTGACTCATAGTGACCCTATAGGGCAGGTTAAAACTGCCCTATAGGCTTTCTAAGGTTGTAATCTTTACAAATGCAAACTGCCACTTCTTTCTCCCATGGAGCAGCTGGTGGGTTCAGATTATTCACTTTACAGTTTGCGGCCAAGCAACTTCTGTTATGTAAGGACTTCCTTAGCCAGAAGATGGAGTGGTGTAGAGAGAGGGAGAGCCATCGCAGTTGGTTGAGAATGTGGTGGAAACTGAAGAAGTAGAAATGGAACACAGAATATTCTTTAAAGAAGTTCGGGTATGAAAAAGGAGGTAAAAATTTAGGGTTTTATCTAGAGTGTAACATCTGGGCTCAAGAGGATTTTTTTGATTTGTTTTCTTAAGATGAGGAAGAAAAGGGTGTGTTTAAATGCTCATAGTAGTTCTGGTGTGGCACTGTGGGTTACTGTGCTAGACTACAAGGTTGGTTTAAACCAAAAGGCTGGTAGTTCAAGCTTACCAGTGGGTCCTTGGAAACCATATACAGGGTCTCTATGAGTTGGAACAGACTCCACAGCACAGTAGGAGAGGTTAGAGGTAAAGGAGGGATGGGCTTATGAGAAACACAAAATCTGTGAGGAAGAGGTCCAGAACATAAATGGGAAACTAAGATAAAAGAGCAGGAAGCCCCTCTTTGGTTACAGTCTGCAGGTGGAGGAGAAACTGGATATGACTATGGGCTGGAGTGTGGGTCTGCAGTGAGTTCATATGCTGAAAATTAAAAAGTTGTTAGGTTAGAGATTTATATATAGAGAAGGAGATTTCAAGTAGTCACTGTGGAGAGTGAGGGAAAGAGCTTTTAGAAACAGGGTTACCTCTTCTCCCTAATTATAGCCAGAGCAGTCGCAGTCACTGAAATAATATTAAATGTGTAGCTTTATCCATAACAGTAACTCAGTTTCACAGGAGCTCAAATAGTGATAGCATTTGATTAAATGAATTATGAGAAACTGAAAGTGCATCTAAATGGACTTTTTATTTGCTATTTAAAATATTTTGTTAAATATTTTAAATATACTTCTTCCAAATGAAGTCAATTGAATTCTCATTTTTGTTGGTTTGCTTTAGACACTCATTGTCGCTTGGATCCGAGCAAACCTCTGTGTGTATATTTCCCGAGAGCTCTGGGATGACTTTCTTGGTGTGTTATCTTCCCTCACCGAATGGGAGGAGCTCATAAATGAGTGGGCCAACATCATGGACTCCTTAACAGCAGTGCTCGCAAAAACAGTGTATGGAGTAGAGATGACAAACCTACCTCTGGATAAACTAAGTGAACAAAAGGAAAAGAAGCAAAGAGGCAAAGGTATTACACTCTTTTCAGGCTAACACCTATATTCTGGGAGTGGGGTGGAGTGTGTATTTATGCCCCTAAGCAATTAACATGTGAAGTTTAATTCTGAACAGAATCAGCTTTGCAGATGGTATTTATAAATGGTGGTATTAGATTGTGTTTCATACCATTATGTCTCCTTAATGAGGATGATGAGTTGCTGAAAAAGCTGTGTAAGAAGGAAGATGAAGTGCTAGGGTGAGTAAAAAAATTATCCGCACTCCGGTTATATTAAAGCACCCATCCACGTCCATGTCCATGGCTGGTGACAACATCAACTGCGCATGTGAAACGATTCTCTTGAATAGATGAGTGACAGTGGATTATGCAGCACATCAGCCATGGTGCTGTCTATGAAATAATCCACAACAGAATTGGATTTCAAAAGGTTTGTATGTGGGATGAGTACCAAAACAACTTCCAGAAGAGCATAAACAGAAGTGTTTGGATATCTGCAAACAAATTTGGATCAATACTCAAAGGAAGGTAAAAGTTTCTTAAAAAAAAACAAAAAAAAAAAAAACATTACTGGTGACAAAACATAGATTCATTATTAAGAAGAGTCTGAGAGTAAACTGCAGAGGATGGAATGGAAACATCCTCCATTGCTGACCAAGAAACAGTTCAAAAGTCAACCATAATCTGGAACATTGATGCTTACGGTTTTCTGGAATTCTCAAGGGCCAGTATTGGAACACTATTGGGAAAAAGGTTTAACAATCAACAATGCTCATTACAGTGAGATGCTCACTGAAGAGCTCAAGTCTGAACTTTTGGATTAAATTCAGAGGACTACTATCTAAGGGCCTTGTGATCTTATATGACAATGTATGTTCATACACCTCTGCTCACACTGTTAACACTGCAAAAACTTCATTTTGAGGTGTTACAGCATCCTCTCTATAGTCCTGATCTTGCTCCATCAGACTTTTACCTGCTGGGTCCCTTGAAAGCAACCTGTCAAGGATGAAGATTCACTTCTGATTAAGAAGTGAAGACAGCAGTGCATTTGTGGCTCAAAGCTCAGTCTAAAACATTTTAAATAAGGGAATATGAAAGCATATTGACAGATGGACAAAGTGTATTGAAAATCAAGGATATTATGTCAAATAATGATGTATTTGTCTTTTATAAAAGCTGATTAAAGTAAATTCTACAGCTAGAATACAGATAAATTTTGACTCACCTTATAGTAGTAATAATAGTAGCAGTATTAGCGGTAGTAGTAGTATTAGCTACTGCTCTTTATATATTATCTGTCTTCACCCTTCATGGTAACCATTGAAGTAGGTACTATTATTATCCCTCTGTTAGACAAAAAAACTGAAATACAGAGAGTCTAACACAATTGGCACATTCAAGATCTCCTAGTAAAGAAATGGTAAAGCCAGAAATTAAAAAGACAAGTTTGGCTCAAGAGTCTACACTATTAAGATCTATTCTGCTGCCTCTCTAGGAAACATGTAGAAAATTCTTACTGTTTCGGATGGGAGTCGTTTTGGCTTTGTTGTGTTTTTGGGTAAAAATTGTTTTAAGAATTAGAATCAGATCATACTGGAAAATATCAGTGGCATATTCTCTTGGGGATGCCAATTTGGCGTCCCTCTGCTTTCATTACTGTTTTTAGGAACCATGACACACTTTGGATCAATTCATTAGTTTTTGTTTTTAAAACTTTGGGTTATAAATTGGATCAAAGTTTACAGAGCAGATCAGTTTTCCATTCAATAATTCATACACATTTTGTTTCATGTCAGTGATTACAATCCCCACTGTGTATCATCACTTCTCCCACTTTCTCCCTGTGTTTTCTATTTCTAAATTTTTAAGGAAGTGTTGAACTATCTCCCACAGTGGTTGCACCATTTTATAATCTCATCAGCCTTGCCACGCCCTTGCCAGCATTTGTTGTTTTCTGTTTCTTTGAACTTTGCTGGGTAAGGTGATATCTTGTAGTTTTGATTTACATCTCTGTAATTTTAATGTAAGGAGCTCTGGTAGCGTAGTGGTTATGAATCAGGCTGCCAACCTCATGGTCAGCAGTTCGAAACTACCAGCGGCTCTGCTGGAGAAAGATGAGGCATACTGCTCCCGTAAAGATTTACCGCCTCGGAAACCCTGTGCAGAGTCGCTATGAGTTGGAACCGACTCCACGGCACATAACAACATTAATTTTAATGTGGCCATTGTACTAACAGAACATGGGGACACTGAATGGTTTAAAATTAAGAAAGGTGTGCAACAGGGTTGTAATCTTTCACCATACTTATTCAACCTGTATGCTGAACAAATAATCTGAGAAGCTGGGTTATGTGAAAGAAAACATGACATCAGGATTGGAGGAAGACATTAACAACTGCAATATGCGGATGATACAACCTTGCTTGCTGAAAGTGAAGAAGACTTAAAACATATACTTATGAAGATCAAAGAGCACAGCCTTCGGTATGGATTGCATCTCAATGTAAAGAAATAAAAAATCCTCACCACTGGACCAATAAACAACATTCTTAACAACCGAGAAAAGATTAAAATTGTCAAGGACTTCATTTTTGGATCAACCATCAACACTCAATGGAATCAAACGACATATTGCATTAGGCAAATCTGCTGCACAAGACTTTTTTAAGTGTTGAAGAATAAAGATGTCAGCTTGAGGACTAAGGTGCCCCTGACCCAAGCCATGATATTTTCAATAACCTCATATGCATGCGAAAGCTGGATAATGAATGAGGAAGATGGTTGAAGAATTGATGCATTTGAGTTATGGTGTTGAATGAGAATATTGAAAGTATCGTGGGCTGCCAAAAGAACCAACAAATCTGTGTTGGAAGAAGTGCAGCTAGAGTGCTCCTTGGAGGACAGGATGGCCAAACTTCGTCTCTCCTACTTCGGGCATATTGTCAGGAGGGACCAGTCCCTGGAGAAGGATATCATCTTTGATAAGGTGGAGGGTTGGAGTAAAAGAGGAAGACCCTCAGTGAGATGGATTGGCAAAGTGGCAGCATCAATGGGCTCAAGCGTAGCAACAATTGTGAGGTTGGACCAGGACTGGGCAGTGTTTTGTTTTGTTGTGCATAGGTCACTATGAGTTGGTACTAACTGAATTGCACTTAGCAACGACAACAACAATTTTAATGATCATGAGCATTTCTTTATGCATTTATTGGATGCCCAAATGGTAAAGTGAAGTGTTTGTTTCATATCTTTTGCCCACTGAAAAGTCAGATTGCCAATTCATTATTCAAGTGTTGACATTTTCTATAAATTTTAGATAGTAGATTCTTTATCTGATATACCATTGCCTAAAAATTTTTCCCAGTCTATGGGCTGGCTCTCTTTTACTCTTTTTGTAAATCTTTTGATCATTTAAGTGTTTAATTTTTAGAAGATCCCAGTCATCTAGTTTGCCTTCTGTTGTTTGTGTGATTTTAGTTATGTTTGATCGTATATTTATGTCATGTGTCAGGGCCCCTAAATTTGTCTCTACTTTTCTTTGATTGTCTTTATAGTTTTAGTTTTCACATTTAAGTCTTTGATATACCTTGAGTTTGTTTTTGTAAATGTGTAAGATATAGGTCCTGTTTCATTTTTCTGATAATGGATATCTGGTTTTGCCAGTCTCATTTGTTAGGCTGTTTCCCACTGAGTGATGTTTGGCAGATTTTTATGTATTAGCTATCCAAAGGTGGTGCAGGGGCTACATAGGAAGAGGTGTCACCTGTTGTCATTCGATGGATGAGGGTAGGGGCTGGCCACACTTCTGGTCTCTGAGAAGGTATGAAGAACAATGGGAAGTTCACCAGTTTTTGGTTGCCATCCACTGGTGTGAGTGTTTATGCTATCCTGGGCAAGTAAACCAATTATCAGGCCGCTCTTCTGATTAGAGCGTGGCTTACAAAAGTTCCAAATGATTCTCTGTCCGACGAACTGACAATCCACTGTTCTCTCTGTTTCCTTGTTTGCACTTTTTGTTCAGCTCCATTTTGTCATTTCTTTAATCCACTTCTCTAATCCTTTGTTGTGTTGCTCAGGGTTCTAGGATTATCATCTATATCTGCTTCTTTTGGTCTCTCGTGTCTTTTTGTTGGGATTCTGGGCAGCCTGTCTGCCTAGTCTGCTCTTTTTCTGGAAGTGCAGATTAATTTATTTATATTGTAATTTAATTCTTAAAAGATTTTGATGCAGCATAAAATTCATATAATACAATAGGTAATGAAAGAAAGAAATTGGGACAGGATTGTGGGGGAATTACAGATTTAGTTAAAATGCCCAACGTTATGCCTTAAAGTTATTGTACACTTGCTGGGGTGGTGGAAAGACAGGAAATATTGGATTGGACTTTGATCCTCACAATAAATAGAATCACAGAGTAGATATGTTTTAAAAGCATTCTACTTGCGTAGATAATACATAATTTTTCCTGGTCCTAAGACTGAAGAGGAATTTCTCTTAAAAAGTCTCGTAAAAGATACATTGCTTGATATGGTAATCTATGGCGTGTATCAATTAGCTTTGCTATATAACAAATCACTTCTATAATTAGTGGCTTAAAATTTATTTAGATCATTAGCTTATGAGTTGTCAATTTGGGCCAGGCTCAGCCAGACAGTTCTTCTGTTGGCATTGTCTGGACTAATGTTTATGAAGTAGTTAACTTGGCAAATCTTCAACCTAAGGGTTGGCTGGCTGGCAGCTCCAGCAATGGAGGTGGCTGGGCCACATGTCTTTTATCACACTGCAGGCTAGCTCACAGTGGTTTATATAATGGCTTAGAGTTTCAGGAACAGCAAGAAAGCAAGTCCACATTTTAGAATGTATCTCAAGTGTTTGTGTACAGTTTTGTTTCCAAGGTCACTCATGTGATGAAGCTCAGAGTCGGTGTGAGAGAGGACTAAAAGAGGATGAGGATATAGTGAGTTGTGAACAAATTACAGTGAATAATTAAATATCTAATCTTGTAGAGTAAGCTCTGTACTGCTGACCAAAGGGTCAGTGGTTGAAACCCACCAGCCGCTCCATGGAACCTCTATATGGGGTTGTTATGAGTCGGAATTGACTCGGCGGCGCGCAGCAACAATGATAATCGTGTCATTAATGTGACTGAATTTTGTAAAATCTTTATTCCAGTATGAAAGTTAGTTGTCAAAATACCAGTTAGTAAAATAAAAATAGAAAGAAACAGAAACAAAGTAGCCTAAGTATTTGGCATTCCAGTGGAACAGTTTTGTCCCAGTTTACCTTTAGGCCGGAGTTCTAGTGTGGTGCTGTGGGCTATTGCACCAGACTGCAAAGTTGTTTGAACTGCAAGGTGGGCGGTTCAAGCTCACCAGCTGCTCTTTGGAAACCCTCTACAGGGTGGCTATAGGTTGGAATCGACTCGACGGCACTAAACAACAACAACCTTTAGGCTGCCTACTGCAATGATTTTCTAACATGTTAGCAGCAGATTCTTATGCCACCTCTAGTTGGAGATGTACAGAGCCACTTCCTACAAATATTTATGTAATGGAGATTTTGGATTGAAATAGCAGTGAGTTATCCCTTTCAGCAACCCCAGAGGCCCCTTTGTAAACTCACAGCTTGAAAGAATCAAGATGCTTCTTTCCAAGAACTTGGTTCAATAAGATTGGTTCTCAGAAGAGAGTGAACCTACTAGGATTGTTGTTAGGTTCCATATAGTTGGTTTCGATTCATAGCAACTGTACTCACAACAGAGCAAAGCACTGCCTGGTCCTGCACCATACTCGCAGTGGTTAATCCTGGAGCCCATTGCTGCTGCCATTGTGCCAATCAATATCATTGGAGGGTGTCTTCACTTTTTTGCTGACCCTCTCTTTTACCAGACATGGAGTCCATCTCCAGGGACTGGTCCCTCCTGATCACGTGTGCAAAGTATGAGAGACAAAGTCTTACCATCCCAGCTTCAAAGGAGCATTCTGCCTGTACTTTTTCCAACACAGATTTGTTGTTGTTGTTCTTTTGGCAGTCTGTGACTGCATTAATTATTTTAAGATCTTCCTTATTCATTGTCAATATTCATATGTATATGGCTTGGGTCAGATGCATTTTAGTTCTCGAACTGTTATCTTTGCTCTTGAACACTTTAAAGAGATCTTGTGCAGCAAATTTGCCTAATGCAATGTGTATGGATTCTTGGTTGCTGCGTCCATGCATGTTGATGGTTGATCTAAGGAAAATTAAGTTGTTGACATCTTCAATATTTTCTCCATTTATCTTGATATTATTTATTGATCCTCTTGTGGAGATTTTTGTTTTCTTGGCATAGATGAGTAAATTCTTCTACTGCTGCATCATTTTATTGAAAGATTTCATTCTGTATTCTGTCAGTTCCTTTGTTGTTGTTGTTGTTAAGTGCTGTTGAGTGAGTTCTGACTCTTAGTGACCTTGTGTTGGGTTTCCAAGGAGTGACTGGTGGATATGAACTGCTGACCTTTTGGTTAGCAGTTCATTGCTTACTGTACAGTAACACACCAGGAGCTTAATTCCTGTCAATTCCTGGATATTAATTTTTTACCAATATCTTCAGTGCAGCTTAGACTTCTTCCTTCACTATTATCAGTTCTTGATCATATTTTACGTTTTGAAAGAGTTGAATGTAGACTATTTCTTTTTGGTACTGTGATTCTTTGTTAACCTTCCATCGTCTTTTGATACTTTATGCATCATTCAATATTTTGCCCATAGAATCTTTCAGTATTGTAAGTTGAGGCTTGATTTTTTTCTTCAATTCTTTAACCTTGAGGAATACTAATTATATTCTTCCCTTTGGTTTTCTAACTCTAGGTCTTTGCACATTTTTTTTGCACTGTATAATAAATACTTTACTGTGTCTTCTTTGCTGGGATTACTTTCAGAATAAAGGAGAAGAAATTCTTCCATTCTATTGTATGAACTTGGGTGGTTGTGGTGATGTGCTGTGGAGTTGGTTCTGACTCATAGTCGACCCTATACAGGATTTCTGAGGCTGTAAATCTTTATGGGAGCAGAAAGCCTCATCTTTCTCCCACGGAACAGCTGGTAGTTTCGACCTGCTGACCTTAAGGTTCATAGCCTGAATCCTAACCACTACGCTACCAGAGCTCCTTTATTAACTACACAAAGGCTTTTGATTGTTTGGATCATGACAAGCTATGGACAACATTGTGAAGTATGAGTATTCCGGAACACTTAATTGTGCTCATGAGGAATCTGTACATAGACCAAGAGGCAGTTGTTCGAACAGAACATGGGAGCACTGAATGATTTAAAATTAAAAAAGGTGTGCAACAAGGTTGTATTCTTTCGCCATACTTATTCAGTCTGTATGCTGAGCAAATAATATGAGAAGCTGGGTTATATGAAGAAAAACATAGCATCAGGATTGGAGGAAGACTCATCAACAACCTGCGATATGCAGATGATACAACCTTGCTTGCTGAAAGTGAAGAGGACTTAAAACATTTACTGATGAAGATCAAAGAGCACAGCCTTCGGTATGGATTACATCTCAATGTAAAGAAAACAAAAGTCCTCACCACTGGATCAATAAACAACATTCTTATCAACTGAGAAAAGATTGAAGTTGTCAAGGACTTCATTCTCCTTGGATCAACTATCAACACTCACAGAAGCAACAGTCAAGAAATCAAACGGCATATTACATTAGGCAAATCAGCTGCACAGGACCTTTTTAAAGTGTTGAAGAGCAAAGATGTCAGCTTGAGGACTAAGGTGCACCTGACCCAAGCCATTGTATTTTCAATAACCTCATATAGATGCGAAAGCTGGACAGTGAATAAGGAAGACCATAGAAGAGTTGATGGTTTTGAGTTATGGTGTTGGAGGAAAATATTGAAAATGCCATGGGCTGCCAAAAGAGCCAATATCCATTTTGGAAGAAGTGCAGCCAGAGTGATCCTTAGAGGCCAAGATGGCCAAACTTCGTGTCTCATACTTCGGACATATTGCCAGGAAGGACCATTTGCTGGAGAAGGACTTGTTTGGTAAAGTGGAGGGTCAGAGAAAAAGAGGAAGACCCCCAACAAAATGGATTGGCCAAGTGGCAGCATCAATGGACTCAGGTATGGCAACAGTAGTGCGGTTGTGCCTGAATCGGGCAGTGTTTCATTCCGCTGTGCATAAGGTCACTATGGGATGGTACCGAGTCGATGGCACCTAACAACAACAACAGAAATAAAGAGGAGAGAAAAGGAGATAGATTTCCACAGGAATTATGTGACCAGTGTGAACAGCAGAGCCACAGGAAAAGATAGATTTATAAAAACAAGCACAATTTCAAAAACACTATGTATGTTCAGAATGGTACAGAATAAATTTAATTATTTAATAGCAATAGCAAATATTTCTGACTTGTGTATTGCATTGCTTTATTCTAAAAAAGTATTTAAGTATTTGTTTAAAATGACCTGTCTTTTAAGCATGAGACTAATGGAAACAAGGTGCAGAGAGGGACTGGGTGTGAAAACAAGCCATTGATGATAACCACAGGCCACATAATTCCTGTGGAAATCTCTTTCTCCTTTTCTCTCATCTTGTATTTCTTTTGGATCTCTGACTGTACATTGAAATCTTTGACCAGACTGAAATGAAAGAAAAGAAGTTGAATCTCACAGTTACTGTGTTTTTATTGCCTTGGAGATTTGCTAAAATAGGATTTTATGTTATTTAAAGATTTTTATTTTCTTTGCTCATTTGATTGAATCTACATTCAGATTTGTAAGCATGAATTTCTCTTAGGAATTTATGTTATGAATTGGTTGGTGTGTATACTATGAAGTATTATTTTAGCATCTGGATCTCTGAAAGGAACTCTGGTAGCATTGTGGTTATGAGTCGGGCTGCTAACTTCAAGGTCAATGGCTTGAAACTACCATGTGTTCCTGGGGGAAAGATGAGGCTTTCAGCTCCCGTAAAGAGTTGCAGTCTTGGAAACCCTGTGCAGGTTCACTATAAGTCAGAACTGACTCCATGGCACACCACCACGACCACTACCATTGGATCTCTGAATTTTTGGTTTATAAGTCATCTTTGGAATATACTAGGAGTGTTCTTATACTGAGAAAGGTTAATTAATAATGATATTTTATATATTGAAGATAGTACTGTAAAGATATATTTCTGAAACTGTTGAAAAATACTTTTGCAGTAGGAAGCTTTAGATTACTGATAAATGAATAACTTTCTGAATTTTAATATAAGAAATTGATACCTAATTTGAAACAAGGTCATCTGCTGATTACATAAAATTTGCTGAGCAATATAGTCTACAAAATGAATATTAATGAAACCACTAGACTACTGTTCTTTTCTTGTCTTTCGTCAGTCTGTGTTCTAGATTCTGAGAAAGGAAGTGCTGTGGGAAGATCCTTTTCTCTTAGCTGGAGGAGCCATCCGGATATGACTGAGCCAATGAGATTTAGGAGTGCTACCACATCTGGAGCACCGGGGGTTGAGAAAGCAAGAAACATTGTTCGCCAAAAAGCAACTGGTAAACCATTATTTAAATATTTTCCAAAGTTCTGTTTGCTGTCTGAAGTTGATTTACAAGAAAAAAATTTTGAGACGTTTTAAAATTCCACTTAGACCATAAAAATTAGACCTTCTCTCAAATTAAATGTGTGTATCTTTTTTTTAATTCTGATTGCTTTTCAAAAACAACAGTTTTTGTTATTTATTTCGTTGTCTTCCATTGTGGAAAATAACTTGAAATTTTGAGAGAAATATTTGTGCAAAAATAGAGAAAACGCAGGTTTTGTTTCAACTTAGAAGAACATAGATTATTCAAAATCAGCACATTCATTGTATTGTTGTCATTATTAAAAAATATTAATCTTAAGAATGTGGCATATTGGCAAAGAAAAGGAAGCTGATGCACTTACTAGTGCCTAGCATTGGGTGGAGGCATTTAAATTTTTTGCTTCTTCAGAACATTAAGCTTTTCATGACGTTATATTTGTAGATTTGTATTTATAGATGTTGTTTTCACAGCCTATTAATAACTTGATTGAGAACCTCCAGTTAGTTGGACTGCTTTGCTACACTTTACTCTTAAGTCAAACGGAAAAAAATCTTTCAAAAGTAAGCTTATATTCAGTATTTATTTAATAAGAACTAATAAAGTCTTCCTTTTTTACTTCAGTGACATTCAAGCTTAGGTTAAAACATATTCATCCCAGTTTTCTCTTGTTTTTTCATCAGGTGCAGTATACAATTGTAGTTGATACTCAGTATGTTGACTTCAGGACATCATAAAATCCCACAGTCATAAAACAAAGATTAATTTAAGTTCAGTATTTTACAGTGCTTAGTAAAGGCTTAATCTAGATGGCTTAGAATCCTCTTGAAGTTTTTATGAAAATATACCCTAACTATAAGTGCCCAGACATCTTTTGTCTTTCATACCCTTGAATCACAACAGTAATAAAAATGACCATTTAAAACACTTAAAATTTTTTATTCTCATAGCATTTTAAGAAACAGAAAATTATTGCATGTTGCTTGTTTCACAGGTTACTACTAGCCAGAATATAGCCATAGAAGAGTTGTATTTCAGATTTACAGCAGTTATTTTAAAGCACTAGATGGTATCCATAATATGGTAGAGGCACCAGGATGTTGTAGAAAATAATTATGTCAGTGGGTTTGCTTATCAGTGTTCTCAGATGTCTGAGAAGCCATGGTAATGCAAAAAGTACTTTTATGCAATTGTGTAAAGGTAACTGTGAAGTATGTCACTTAAAGGCTATAAACTTGACCTTTGTAGGATTTATTATTGAATTAACAGCAGTGACCATAAGAACAATACGACCCCACGTGAAATCATAAATTTTAAAGGATTGTGAAACTAATAAGACCTGTTGAGATGGACATAAGTTTTACTTTTATGTATTTTGCATATATTTTTACACAGACACATTTACTGTTGTTGTTAAGTCCTTTTGAGTTGGTTCTGACTCACACCCACCCTGTACAGGGGTTTTGAGACTTTAAATATTTGCAGGAGCATAAAGCCTCACTTATCTTTTGCAACATATATACAGCATATATATCTATTGCTGAGTCAGAACTGATTTGATGACACTTAACACACATGTGTGTGCATGTATATGTTTGTCATTGTTGTTGTTACATGCCATTGAGTCAGTTCTGACTCATAGCGACCCTGTATAGAGTTTCCAAGGAGCCACTGGTGAGCTTGAAGCACTGACCTTGCAGTTCATACTGACATTGTAGTCCATCACATTAACCCATAGCACCTCACCAGGACTGACTCTCTCTCTCTCTCTAACCATATAATATATATACACAAAATACTATTATATTTTTTAAAGTGTGAATCCTTAATACTTTTAAAATTAGTGATCCTTGAAGATTTCATTACTGTCATACATATAAATTTTCTATAGGTTAGAGATTAGTAATTCTACTCAATTCTATTATTTTTTTTAATCATGTAATGACAATTCTTCCTTTTAAAAAGGCCCAAATATTTCAAGATAGAGTTTGATTTATGTAGGGGCCACCTTTTTTAAGAGAGAACAAGTGTCAGTTTTTGCTTATAGCAATGACATGTTTATTGTGGAAGTGTTATTGAAAAATACTAAGTTTCTTATCTCAGTAAGAAAATAATTTGAAATTACTAAGATTTTCCCTGTAGATTTTAGTTGGGTATAGAAAACATCAGTGAAAGGATGGGAAAGAAATATAAAAGACTGCAGTGCAGACTAGAGACATGCCAGGTTAATAGGTGGTACACTAGGTTGTAACTCTGCAAGAATTTTAAAGGAAAGCTTCATCCCTGAGTGTGACTGATACTAAAATTTTAGATGTCTAAATTGGGCATGATTAAAGTAAATCATACTTTCTACAGAAGATTATTATTCCATTTTATTATTTCTAAAACTCCTAGTGTTCAGTTTTAGGAACTACATAATCATTTGATTTATAAAACACTTTCTATAATGTCTCTCACTTATATTGAGAGATGAACAAATCTTTGAAGAAATTTTAAAGTCCATAGGTTTGACGTTTACACCAAAGTTTTCATTTAAAGGGATGCTTTATACATATGTGAATTATATTGTAGTAACATTGCATCTTGTCATTTTAATGACTCAGGCAAAAAAGGACAGTAAAAACCTAATTTTCCCTTTTTGCAAAGATACTACTGCCATTTATAGTTCTATGTTATTCATATTAAATGAAGTCGTTTAAAAGCAAAGCTTAATATTTTCATTATAAGGATAAGATTGATTTTACTGATGGTGATTTTATATAAATGAGTCATATTTTCCTGTGTCCATCTATTTTCTCAAATATTTCTCAAATATATGTAGAAAACTTGAGACCATCAGAAAAGCTGATTCTTAAGTTATGGATTTCGAGTGACTTAAGCCCAAAAAGCGATATAAAGGATAAAAAGGATGGATTTCATGGAGATTTTTTACTCTTTTTCAAGCTATGGAATATTTTAATGGTTCGTTTGGCTTGTAAATCATCTTGAGATTTTAGGATATTTAATTCACTAAGTGATATGCTTTTGAATACAGTCAGCTCTCAAGAAACCAATTTGTGACTTATTTATTATTTGTAGAACAATTATAATCCCAGGGTAGATTTTTTCCTCCCTCACCATGTTTGTGTCCTTAGGAAAGAAAAACTAGTGGTAATGTTTGTCTAAAAAACAACCCAAATGTGAATCTGACACATACTAGAAAAAAAGAAAGGCCTTCCAAAATAAGGCTGATTTCTTGTATGAAGATTGTCCTTTCTACTATCAGAAAACCTGTCTGAAAGTTGACTGTATTTAGAGATTTTGAGTAAATATTGTGATTTGTACTGGCTTCCTTTAAATTTTAAAGCGACTTTCTGTAAATATTTAAAGAGCGCCCAGAAAACAACAAGTAAAAAGAAGTGTAAATCCTGATGTTCTTGACTTAATTGTTACTTTATCTCTCCTGGAAGCTAAGCGAAGCCAATCTATCAGCAACTGTGTTCACCTTTCTGAAGCTTTGCCCGCCACTAAAAGCATCCCGCTCTTCCACACCGTGAGCGCTCTCTTACCTGGTCTCTATTACTCCTCTTGCTCTCACAGCCTTTCAGGTACTATAATGCTATCTCTTGTGTCCATCAGTGTTTGTGGGCTTCTGCTTTCCAATAGGCCTGTTTTGCTTTGTTTGCAGCCCATGTAATACATTCATGCCTGGCCATTGCACTTTGCATTAGTTTTTAATGATATCAATAGTTGTTTTACATTTTTTATTTGATGTTTATCAGACATTAGATTTAAAAAACTTAAAACAGCAAAAGTAATCTTACTGGTCTTTGCAGTCACAGTTAAAAGAATTTTTTAAAAACTTATAAAAGTGCTAATTTCTAAAACAAAGAAACTTTGGTCCTGGGCTTCTGCCAATTAAAATAAAATTTAGCCACATGTGGTTTACACACAGTATGTTTCTGGGTTTATTAAAGATATTTGTCATGATGTTATAGACCAAAAGGAGCCCTGGTGACACTGTAAGGTAAGCACTGGACTCCTAACCACAAGGTTGATAGTTGAAACCCACTAACTGCTCTGTTGGAGAAATATGAGAGTATGCTCCAAGAGAAATTTACAATCTTGGAAACACTATATAAGGTTGCTATGAATTGGAATAGACTTAATGGGATTAGATCTGGTGTGGCTTTATAGCACAAAGGGATTTTTTTGGTCTAGTCACCTCAACAGAAGGAGTTAGTTGCTCTATAATTGAATGACTGGATCTATGTTTAGTTATTTTTCAGTTGTACCAAGGGCAGTGAAGGGAGTGTGGTGGATCCATACAGTAAGCAATGGATGACTAGCCATAAGCTCCGCAGTTTGATCCCACCAGCTACTCCATGGGAGAAAACTGAGGCTTTTTGTTCCTGTAAAGATCTTAAAAAAGACTCGCAAACTCTATACAGGGTCACTGTGAGTCAGAACTTGAGGCCTTCTCACTTTACAGTAACAGCAAGAAGGCTGTGATGGCTTAGTAGTATAATTCTCACTTTGCATACAGAAGACCAGGTTTGATTCCTGGCCAGTGCATCCCAAGTGCAGCCACCACCTGTCTGTCCATGGAGGCTTGTGTGTTGCTACAGTGCTGAGCATGTCTTAACAGAGCATCAGGCTAAGACAGACTAGGAAGAACAGCCTCGTGATCTACTTCTAAAAAATCATCCAGTGAAAGCCCTATGGGTTATAATGGTCTGATCTTATTGTGCAGAAGTTGCCATTATTCAAGGGCTGAGACTTTACAGCAGCTAGTAACAATAGCAACAAAAACTGAACTGAATCTTTCTACTAAAGAAGAAAAGATTTCCATGTTCATTTTTATTCCAAAGTTTGGGTTTTATAGATTTAATTTTAGAAATAGATTAATGCTTAAGCACTTGACTATTTCAGCTGAAAAGTTCGTGTTTTGAACCCACCCAGAGTTATCTCGAAAGACAGACCTGGTGATCTAC